TCAGATGCGATTCATGAAAAACTATGGAAGAGTGGCTCCTTATGCTCCTGCCTACGCTATGAATGATGAATTCTCAAGGGTCTTGCATCAGCAAATGGAGTTTTTCTCCAGTAATCCTAGTGCAGACACACTCAACCGTGTCCGAGGAGAAGTTAGTGAGGTAAGATTACTTGGTCACTTTTAACCAACTCCCAAAAGAAAGAACATGAACAGGAGCAAAAAAAGAGAATTCACTTTATTAGGGATTGAAATGTTGTTTTTGCTTTAGTCGTTTATATTCTATGTGCCATGTGTATGAAGATGGTTATATCTTCAATTTTTTTGTATGTAAATCTTAATTATATGATTCATTGGGAAGATCAAATGTATATTGTATATAGTGACCAATAATACTGTATATTTCTTGGTTTTAGCTGCATTTTTGTAGGCTTTTTAGTTCTTGCAGTTTGCTTTTAATTTCGTGTGGCCATCTTTGATTATCGAGCGTCTGTAGCTGGAGTATTTTCTCAAAGGTTTGCCATGTGTTAGAGGTTGATCCTTTTTATTTATCTGCTATTAACTCTATCCTCAATTTAATATACCGAATAATCACTTTGTCCTTGTTTTAATATGCCCTTCTTCTTTTGTACTGTTAAAGCATAAATTTACTTAGTGAAATACGTAGCTGCTTATTTAAGAAATTCTCGACAATAAGGTATAAGCCAGAGTCCCCCACCTTTTTCCCTGAGCTGGTGCCAGTGGCAACTGTCTCAGGTTTTCAAATGGTTGGGCCTATGAACATCAATATTAAAATCGTGATGAGTCGAACACTTTACATTATGTAGGTGAAGCAAATTGAGATGCCTCAGTTTTCGTTTCTCTTTTGTTTTTGGCTCAACAAGAATCCTCAGCTCCTTTGCTACAAATTATATGCATATATGTTGTAAGCAGGAATCATGTTCCAGCATAGCAGTTTCTAATATGCGTTGTTTCTATTATTTTTGTATAACATTGTGCAAACTTTTATAAAAAAGTCATATTTCTAAAATTATTATAAAATGTTACAATATAATTGTTAATTAGCTCCTGTCTTTGTAGTGATGTTAGAATTCAGGGAGCCTTAGCTGCTCTATCCTGCGTGTGATATTGTTGACTTTATGATGAGCTTACTTGCTTGTTCTTATCCTACTACTATGAACCTGACGCCTGGAACATGGTCTTAAGGTACGCACAATAATGGTGGATAACATTGACAAGATACTAGAAAGAGGTGACCGGATTGAGCTTCTTGTTGACAAAACAGCGACCATGCAAGATAGTGCATTTCACTTCAAGAAACAGTCAAAGCGCCTTCGTCGAGCTCTGTGGATGAAAAATGCCAAACTCTTGTACGTATTTTAATAACCATCTATTTTTGTTAAACCTCATATAAGAGCTCAATAATGGTCTATAAAGACTATAAAGTTCGTGAAAGCAAGAATGCAAATGGCAGAGCTGTATTGATCTATGCACTGTGAAAGTGTGTGTAGCTTTGAGCATGTCTTTGTAATCTTGTGTTTTGGAGATTTTAATTCTGCAAGCTTTATTGACTAGCTGTAAGGGTTTACATTTCATATTCTATTTTATTCCATTGAGCTAATTTCTTGCACATTTTGGATTACCTAATCGAACGTTGAATAATAAATAGAAAGTTTGAGACAATCTATATGATTGAGATGAGAATAATAAGTTGTTTTTTGCGAAAGCTGGATATGTAAACTTTAGAGCATTCAGTAAATGGTTAACTGGTAAAATGTAGTAGCATCATCTACTTGTTCACCCCATCAAGATTTACTATTACTTGATTGCATAAACAACTGAGGTTTGGGTTGATGATGAAAAGGATAGCGATAGATGAAAATTATCAGATATTCACAATCCGAAATGTAGTAACTCACATATCCCTGCTTTCAATATATAATATATGCACAATGACATAGGAGACTTTTTTGATTGCATCCGTCCTTCAGAACTTCGAGAAGTAATTGTAGTCATGAACATTTGACGTATTAGCATTTAAATTGGAAATATTATGTATATGTGCATTTACGTGTGGAGTTATCTAAAAAAATAAATCTTATACACCTGTACCATTTAAATCTTAAGCCCCCGTTTGATTCCCATTCTTATAAAAATGAAAATGAAAAATATAG